TTTGAGTTTTTTAGCATTGATACTTTTCCTCAAAATAAAATTCAAAAGAAGATTTTCTTCTTGGAGTGACCATTTTTGTTTCGAATTTTCTAATATTCTTCATTCTATGCTTTCTTCTTCATCAACTATTTCATCTGAGACATTATCTGTATCATCTCTTCCATCAGTTGCTTCTTCATCAACTATTTCATTTGAGACATTATAATCATTACCTTCAATCTCACCTGAGGCATCATCTGTATTGTGAGCATGTAAATTCAAGTACAGCTCAGGATGTGTCCAATAAATATATAAAATAAAATAAATAAAAGTACAATATATAAATCTCCCTGTTTCGGCACACAGCTCAGAGCCTATCCAAAACTCTATTGCGCAATTCTCTCTCTACAGTACTAATATGAAGTACTGCTGGCAAAAGCCTAAAAATGATCAACAAATATTCCACTGTCTAGCTAAGGCATCCCTTAGTTAGTATGGTCTTAATTTAAGGTGAAGGATGCTTTTCAGCAAGGTTTATCAATGAGTTTTATTAAAGGTTCAAGTGTTTATTGTAAAAGTGTTATGTGTCTTTATTAGTGATAATATGTTTGTTACAAAGCTATTATTATATTATTATTATTATATCATGAACATGATGATTCTCACTTGGTCTAAAACCAAGCTCTTTTATACCTCTTGAGGTATTACAAATAACATGACCTTTACAATATTTTGTCCAATAAAATATGCTTATTAATCCTATTTTCTGTAATACTAGCTTACGATTACTAATCCTATGAGTCATTATAATTCGAAGTAAATAATTATGTCATAAAATAAGTTAAAAATAGAAATTATGTAATGATCTACATGTGTAACATGGCACAGAGAAAATCACAGTAGTCATATAGACTTAATTTGGACATCACAATCATTAGCTAAAGATATATTACAATGCAAAATTACAAATGTAATGGATATATTAGATACAGATCATAATATTGTATGGTTTGATTTATTAACCAACAACCTCATTTAAATCGAAACAATGCAGTTGATAGAAGAATGTCAACAAAAAGGAAGATTTATAAATATGACAATATGAACAAATCAAATTGGGAAAAATTTGCTAGAGACACAGATGAACTGTTTAACAAATCAACTCTAAAAAATAATCTAACTGTAATGATACAACAAAAAGATTTTTTGAACAATGCTTGGAATACTATACAAGATATAATCATTACAGCTGCAAACAAAAATATCCCAAGGAAATTAATTCAAAAAAATGAAAAATCCAATTGACCAAAACTAGTCTCAGACTGTTATTCAAAAACAAAGCAGATTCTTAAAATTATCATGAAAATCAAAAACTTTATAACATTATTAGAAGGAAAAATATATATTGAACCAGTTAAACTAGACAATACTTTTAAATGTCTAAAGAATTTACAAACAAATTCATTATTGATGAAATAATTATTCCTACACTAATCACTTCTGATAGTCTAAAAATAGTTAAAGATCAACTTATACCCTTACATAAAACTTTTATAGAGAAATGAAAATACAAGAAAAAAACTTCATAGGAAAACAAATAAAAATAAATATTGAAAAAAGACAAGAAAATCTTCAATTCAATCAGAGAGCTATGATTAGCAGCATATTAGAAAATGAAAATCAATTTTTAAAAATAGATCATTGTATTAACAGAAATAATGGTGATTTCAATTACTTCTAGAAAAAAATGAAGTTCTTCAAGCAACTTGTAATCATTACAGTAAAAGAAATCCAAGAGACATTACATTACAACAAAACTGGGAACATCAATATAAACCAAAAGATAATATAGATGAACAATGGTATAAAAATGTAATGTCAGTTCCAACATTTAGTGAATATTTTGATGTTATAAAATCACTAGCTGTTAATAAGGCAACAGGACCATCAAACATTTCAAATGAAATGCTAAAACATCTGGGTCAGGAAATGCAAAAGGCTTTATGGAAATACATTTCAATTTGCATTATTAGTAACAATATACCAGATAATTGGAACTTAGCAACAGTTTTCCCAATTCCAAAATCTTATGACTGGGAATTAGATTTAAACAATACTAAGGTTTCTGGTCCAAACTGTTTTCTCAAAGCCCAAACTAGTTTGGGCAATTTGGGCTTCTCAACATTTTTTATA